CTGGTACTGAATGTCCCTCTGTTGAGGGCGCTTTTGCTGTGCATTTGTAGCTGTGATTGCTGTTCTCATCCATACAAGCGCTCCGAGCCCCACTGCAGCAGTGGAATCCCTGTGGCAGGAGATGGCCAGCCTGTTGCTAACAGCCTGCCCATCGCATCCCACGCAGGAGTCCTCAGGTGGGAAATGCAGGTGTTTGAGCACAGAGCACAAGCACTGGCTCTGCCCAGAGTAGTACTCGCTGCTTGGCGCTGAACTGTTAAATTCTTGATTCACCATAGAGCTTTAAATTCTTTAGAATGTTGTTGTTCTGCGTCCTTTTTCCATATCTTATTTTTATAAAAGCAGATCACAGCTGAAGTCTGTGCTGCTACCCTTTCTCCTAAATTATTGACCGTGACTTTCCATAGTAAATTGTGATGGCTACAAATGTTTGCTTGAACATAATTCATGGCAGAGCTTAAAGAGACAGAGCCTACGTGTAATTTTCTCAGTCAGTAAACAACTGATGTTAATTTTGGCATTTCTCAGCTTTTGAGTGCTTAGTTTTGATAAGATGGTGTTTCTTTCACTACTTGATCCATTGAATTAATTTTCTTATTTAAAGAAAGCAGCAAAACTTGTACTGAAAAGGAAGACTTCCTGCAAAACACTACTGACCCTCTCCTTCTCCAGAGGACTTCCCCTCCAGAGCCCTGCAGGCAATGGAAACCAGACTGCAGCATCCTCCTCCAGTGCAGCATTGAGTGGTGCAAGCCATGGCAAGGGGTGGCGCTGCAGGGGGCAGCACACACCAGTGTCAGTTCCCCAGGGCATTGGGGTGAGAAGGGCGGGAGGGTGAATTCTGCACAGGCATGGCAGTGGTGTGAGTTAGGAAGAGAACATGCTTGTGGAAACCTGCATTCTACTAAGCTTGCATCAACTGAGGAGGCATCGAATGTGGGCATTTTTATTTGTTTTTAATTTCCACAGCAAAAGGAAATACCGTAGACCTTATTATTTTCACTTCAGATCTTAGCAAACTGTTTGGGGAAAAAAAAAATTAGCACGGGCAGAATTATTTTTTTACTGAATTAAAAAAATCAAGCCATGAGTAGAGGCTTAGGTTGCGAATTGTACTGAATACTAAATTTAACAAAAGCAAATCTGGCTGAAAACAGACTCTTACAGTAGAAGGTTTTAGGCAACTTATTGACAAACACTGGTTTCTGCACAAAATCATTCACAAGTATCTGCAGAATGGATGCGGAGCAGCTGTGTCCCAGGCCATGCCTGGCCTCTCCTGGCATGGTGGTTTATCAGACTCCTGCTGATTTCCTGGTGCTGCTTTGTTCTTATAAAAGGACAAACTATGCCCCTACTAAGCTCTCTGAAATGCTTTGTGCGGAATCATTTCTTACTTATTTTTTTTTAAGAATTCTCTCCGAAAAGACAGAGAAGGTAACCGGCTACATATATGCAACAGAAAAGCTGTCTGTAGTTAAAGTAAGTTAATTTTATCAAGGCTTGGAGAATAGTCTGGTAAGTCCCAGTCAGTATGGTTGTGATTTTAGTTAAAACTGGTGAAGCTGGATCATTGCCTTGTTTAATGGCTTTACTAGAGCACAGTTTTCTCCTGCTTTCTCTGTATGTAAGGCCATTAATGAATCATTATCTATTGTCAGCAATTACTGATGTCTTGAGAATATTGTTTTAATTATATAGAAATTAAAAGTAGAAGATACAGTTACATATGCTACAGTGTAGGTGGTAGAACCTTGCTATATTATGGCTTTAAAGAATCTGTGCTTTTGCGGATTTTAATGGCTGAGGGTGTCTGGTAAAATATGAATTATTGTATGATAGCACACGATAAAAGATATACTAGTGTGAGCCTCACAGTCTGCAGGTGTAACAGATGTAAGGCAAGATTAACAGGACAGAACAATAATTAAACCACAGACAGCAATCTCAGAAAAAAAAAGCTTTCCGTGTCCAATGCAATTATTAAGTGTTTCTGAAATTCTCTGCAAATATTTGTAAAAGCAATAGAAATGTGTTCATTTGAAAGAGAGCTTTTCAGCACAGACACTTACTTTAAGGAATTAAGAACCTTTTTTTGGAATATAAAAGCTGACTGAAGTCCTGTGACAGCGTGGTTCATAAGCAATACAGTCCTTGGTTTATTGATGCTAAGAGCTAAACACTGCTAAAGAAAATGAGAGAGCAATTAGTATATATGCATTTAGAACAGTGAGTTGCATACTCCCTTTAGGACAGGAGCATTCAAATAATTAACGATAATATTATGGTTGCAAAAGGAAGTCCAGTTGTTCTTTGGCAGCCTACATCTGTGAAACATGATACCTCTGGGGACTGAGAATTAATTTTCCCAGGAGAAAGTGTAAAAGCAGGAGAAAAAAAAAAGAATGACTTCTGCTTGAGCAGAATAAACCTGCATCTACAAACGATTAACACTGCATAATGAAGTAGTAAAGAAGCAAAAGAGATTTCTAATAAAAGACTAATAACAAATCCCATTACACTGCGGTGTATTTTTTCCCTTGAAGTGTATTAGATGGCTAGCAAAGCTTCTGCGTGAGAACTGGTTAGTTGCAGGCAAAGTCAGCTAGAATGCTTCAAGCGTAGCTCTAATTCTTTTCCTAACAGTTTGTTTAACATTACAGTTGTGGTTTTACAGGTGGGAGAGGTTGTTAATGGAAGCAATAGGCTTCACACAGAGTTTGGGTAATGTTTGTGTCACTGTAGGGTAATAGTCTCCTGTGGGCTAGACACTGTAGGGTAACACGCTGCTATGTGGTAAAGGCCCCTAGCTACAGCTGACATGGTATTAAATGTACACAGATCACTCCAAAAGTAATGCCTCTATTTATTCCCATGGAAAATACAGCAGATACAAAGAGTGCAGTAGCACTCTTTTATAGAACTAATTATCAGCTACAAAAGACTATTTTTCAACACAGTTGCCACCATTATCTGTACATTTTCATCAGCAACAGACAAGAGGCTGCTTGCCATGCTTTACAAGAATTTGCACCAGCAGCAGTGGCTCGCTGTTGCCTCTGCTGAAACACAACCCAGTGCTTCACTGTGCTCACATCCACTGTTTGATCTGCGTAAATATTAACCAAGCATCGATGAATGTCAACGGGTGCCATTTTTTCTGCATGGAGGCATTCAGTTCCACACCTTTGCTTCATGCACACTTCCATGTCAGATGCTGCTCTGTCACACTGCCCCTCTGCTGCCATCTGTTGCACAGCAACAAAATGCAAGGGAATATTGGTGGGAAGATTCAGCCTCTCCTGCCGCACTTCCAACGTCCTCTGATGTTGTGGGCCAAAGTGGTTAAATAAGATGCATCACTTTCAGAGCAGCCCTTGTAATAGATAAGTCTTGCATTTTGTTAACTGGTCTTCTGACTTTGCATTCTGCAGCCTGAAAATATGTTTTTCTAGGGAAAGGGTTTGATCAGAGAAGCAAATACCAGAGTTTTGGTTTTGTCGTAGCTAATATTGTGGCTGTTATAATTACTATGCTAAAAGAAGTTACAAGAGCTTAGAACGTAAATGTTGGATGTGAAGATAATAAGAATTAGATAAGACTGTTTTTTGAAATCGCTTATTTTCAATTTAAATCTTGCTGGGAATAATACTCTGTGCAGTGATCTCTATGTCTGTAATATGGACATTTTTATGGGTTATATACACAATGGCAGAGCATACAATAGTTTGAATGAACAAAACTTCAATTAACAAAACAGTAGCTTTCAGTCTCTGTTGAAAGAGAGTACAGATTGTCACTCACCTGACATGCTGAGATCCATTTTTGCAGCAGTGAACTTTTATTACCAGAAAAAAAAAAATTAAAAATAATTAAAAAAAAAAAATTTTAAAAAACTATAGATGCCTTAAAACAACAAGTTCTGGTACAAAAGTGGTTAAACACAAATCCTCAAAAGTGAAACTAATCTTCATGAAATTTCCAGTTGCCTTTTTGGAAAGTTTTGTGAATTTTATAGAATGACTCAATTTGCTTAGCAGAAATTCACAATCAGTCTGTTTTTTGTCACTGAGTAAACAGATTCTGCATGAGTAGAAATTTGCATATCCCAGCTATGAACGTAATTCATTATTTTTAAGTCCATTTTATAATAATTATTCTAGGATTGATGTACTAACTCTAAAAGCTAAAAAGATACCAAAGTAATGGTTCTGTTTTAGAATAGGAAAGGGAAGTGCCTGTCTCGAGGTCAGCAAGTAGGCCAGTGTAAGGGCCAGAACTGCGTATGAGAAAGCTTGAGAAATTTTCTTCTGCATCTCAGTCTTCTAGTCTCAAGCAAATGTTGGCTTAGTCAGACAGATTTTCCTCTTTTTCTATGAAAACAGCAGAGGTATGATCAGGACTTAATGCTGTAGTCTACTTGCCGATTATCACTAAATCTGGTAAAGATTTAAATGATGTTTAGTCAAAAAAGAATCTGTAGTATATTTTTCATGGATCTGCAAACACTGCTTTCGAAAAGGGAGCAAGGCTCTTCAGAGCAAGTGTGGGCTGATCCACTTTCACTGTTGTTTATCATCTCCCTTCAATTGGCTCTCACTTGCCGGAGGTTTTCAGGGCTTTTAGAAACCACTGGCTTCACGCAGCTTCCCTGTTCCAGGCCATTCTTGCATGACATGGTCTTACTTCCATCTTCAAAGAATATCACATCAATTGCTCAAAAATACAGTACGTGGAATTGGTGTGATATTTCTTTTAAGGTTGACCTATGTAATAGTAATCAGTAAACCACTACAGTCAGTACCGTATTGCTTCCCTTAATGTAAATACAATAATATTTCCAAAAACACAATTAAGTAATTCATTCTCATATACCTTCCGAATTTGCAAAATTTGCTGGTAAAACACTTTGTATTGTAGCTGATCCTGTGGTATATATACTGCCTTCCCAATATTTGTCAAAATGCAAGGGTGCAACTCACGTCTTTTCTTTTTTTCAGGCGGTGGGTAAGGCTGCTCTTTGGACGTGAATTCCCACTCCAGGACCTTCTTGTTGTCTGGGACGCTCTATTTGCTGACAGTATCACCCTGAATTTAGTTGACTACATTTTTGTAGCCATGTTGTTATATATTAGAGATGCCTGTGAGTATCACTTTTCTCATGATCTTTTAAGAATGCCAACCTATTTTTCGCAGAAAAAAAGGGCTTAAGAAATGCTCAATTTCATTGTGATTTTTTTAACAAACTGAAAATCCTTTTAGATGCCATGAGAGGAGCCATTTGTTTTCAGATGCAGTCTGCTGTGTTTACGAAATAAATTGTATCTGAGAGTTAAATGCAGGTTTGTTTTCTGGGTAGTTCTGTGTTTTTCTATGGAGTTGCAGACTGTGCGTGGGAAGTGACTCAGGTATGTATAGAGCTCCACCTTCTGACAAAGCTGATGAATTGAGTAAAGCCTCTGATGCTGGAGATGCATCTTTTGCTGTTCTGTGAAAATGCATAAGACAATGACTCATAATTTTCCAGGTTATATCTTGGAGGATATCTGTGTGCAAAGATGAGTATCAATTACAAAATACTTGTATTTTATCCTAGAGTGGTGTCTTCAAAAAACTGAATATTTTGTTTTATTGTATTTAATCATACATGAAATTATGTGCGAAGGTGAGTTCTTAAAGGCTGCTGATGAGCAAAAAATACATGAAGTTGAGCTAAAGGAAAATCCCCAAAATGTCACTAGTGTATGTAACTGTGAATGAGAGGAAGAAGTTATATTATCTAAAAGATTTGTACTTATGCCTCATCATATTTTGCAGATAATTCTATGTATGAGTTTGCCGCAGCAAAGTATGTGTTTTGCAGTCAGATGCATGTCTGTCATTAAATATATGAATTCTTTAGCATGCTGTTCAGTGTTAATTATATACAATCTGTAAATTTTAGCTTCTAACAAGGTCACATATTTGACACAATTTTGTATTCTAGGACACATAAAGTTTTCAGCTTCTGTGGTTCCTATTTTAGGGTCCAATCTTGAAAATATAACATGCATTTACTTTACACATACTGTCATTTCATTGCCTGCCATAGAACTTCATGTGGGTTTTTTTTTGTTGCCTTTTAATAAACATTTAGCATATAGAGCTGCTTTACATTCTTCTAAAAGAAGTGGATGCTTAATTCAGCAAAGAGATTTCAAAATAAATAGTTCTGTTTCAGGATTATCTAATTCCAAATCTTTGTCTGAAATTTCAGTCTCCTTTATCCAGTAAACTGAAATAATCCTTAAAATTTTGGTATAGTTATATGGTGCAGATACATGTAAAAATATTTCTTAACATCAGCATTTTATTTTGTGCCATCATTTCTCTTTAAAAACACTTTAGAAATATATTTGTAAGCACTCTGTCTCTCCTAGAGGAGAGAAGATTGTTTTGGAGTTGTTTTGTTTTGCTTTCTCGTGCTGACACACAAGTATCGGTGTGAGGTAACTAAAAAAGTAAGCTAAAAATGTACTACAGGCATCGGTATGAAATCGGTCTCCCTCTTTTCTCTGAAATCCCAGCTTTAATAAATAAAGTAGCAATGGCTTTAACAGTGAGTACATTTGCTTGGATGGTAGGCAAAGATATCTCATCAGGACAGGTAATATTGTTTCTTTCCATAGTTGGATTAAATCAGTTACTCTAAGCTTAGTCGGGGGAAACAAAAAATACCCTATCAGAACTGTTGTAAAGTTGAATATATTTTTAACTTCAAACTCAGAGATTTCTTGACTTTATAAAAGTCAACTTTCCTTACCTATCTGTAAAGATTTTTGTTTCTGTTTTCCCTTTTATTTATATTAATATTTGAGCTGAGTTCAACGTTCTGTTGTGACATTTTTAAAAACATTCTCAAATAAGTTTCTAAAAACTTCATTCGCTGAAAGGAAATGTTAGCTCAAAATCCACCATGATATTGATCTTCTATAAATAAACCATCTGTAAACTTTCAATTTAAAAACACTGAAACAATGAAAATAGCAATGTAAATCTTAAGAAATTATGTTACAAAAAATATCAAACATAAGCCATAATAATAATAAATTACTGAAAGCGTTTGAGAGTTTAAAAGTGATGCAGATGCTTTTCTAGCAGCACAGTGGGGACTGGGGAAGAAGTAGCTGGTTTAGGAATTGCTGGATCTTTTTTGGTTTTCTTATTGTATTGACAAGGACATGGTTTTAAGAAAGTAGCTTATCTGCTATATATTTCTTTTTTATTATTATTATATTTTAAAATTCTGTTACACAAGTTATGTCTTATTTAATGAGAGTGTAACGTTTTGATTGCTTGATTACTGTGCATACACAAAACATAGTTGAAATGACTTGATTGTTTTAAAGACTGCCGATATGTAGTGATGTATACAGCCGTTCTGTGAACAGCTCTGTTCTGTTTAACATCTGTATCCATGCAGAGCTTTATTCTTGCAGTGGTAGTCCTCACAAACCAAGTGTCCAGTCATGTACCAAACTACTGGTGAGTTTTAATAAATTATTTCCTTGGATTCTTTGGAAGAAAAACACCTTTGTTTAAAAGTGTGTCAAATCTAAATGAGTGTGTTACTAATTTTTCACTGATATGGACTGAACGTGAGCAGTTAGTTGTTCATGAAATCAGAATGGAAAGGAGAGCTCAGTGCAAAGAATGTGTATGTATTTTATATACTTACCTTCCCTTCAAGAATCTAATTTTGACTGATGAGTGTTTGAATAAGTATACTTTTATCACGTTCCCACTTGATAAGAAAGACTAGTTATGAGCATTATTAGCATATACTTTTTCTTACCTAAAAGCACCCTGAATATTTTAAGAGAAATAAAGGAACCATAGCCTCTTCTTAGAGGAGTTGATTTGTTATTTTTGTTATAGTGCAAGATGTTCACATAATCTATGTTTAACTCAATTTAGGTCTACTAAATAGAACATAGCAATGCGTGAAGCAGCAGGGGAAAGTAGTCACACCATTCCTGGGTTAGGAAGTCATCTTCATACAGGATTGGCAGCATCAGACGTGAAACTCTGAACAAATGACAGGTGGCAGTAAATTAGGGCTTGATTGAGGACAAGTACAGTTAGTTTTCCACTTTTTTGACTGGTGCTTGCATCCAATAATGGTTATTGGACCAATAGTGAAAAGTCAGTCTTTATAAAGCAGAGCAACTTAATGTTCCTCTGGGCACTGCGTAGTAAATATTAATCAAAAGGCAATAAGGTTGCTTTTTCTATCACAGGAGTTTCTCTGCTGCTTTCCCTAGAAATACCAATCACATTTTTCTCTGGCAAAGTGGTAACTGGTTTTCACAGTGTGAGTTGAATCCAGATGTGACTCTTGCAAAGATGTTGAGTGAAGGACAAGCACAGAGTGGCAACCATCAAGCTTATGTGACAAAGCAGTAGATGGTCTTTCACCCTGTACAGTAGCACCATCCAGCTATGGATGACAGGAGAAATTGGTATTGTAGAGTCTTCCTCCAGAAACTTCGTCCTGGGTTTGATTCTCAGAAATCCTTTTAACTCTTCATTTACAGAAAAGGAGAGGGTTGGATTTTTTATCTGCTATTTCCTGCATCATTTTTAAGAACATTGCCACTTTCTTTGACAATATCAAACGTTTCATCCTTAAAAGCCAAAGATAGTTCACTGTTGAAATGAAGAAGGATACCAATAGGTGTTTCAGCAAAGTAATCCCTTTAACCCAATATTATCCAGCAAATAGAGCACTAGCAGTGATATTCTTTTCTGCAACAATTTCTACATGAAAAAGAAAGAGCTGAATGTATGAGAAAATCCCTAACAATAAAATAGAAGTTAGCAGGCCTTCCTCATTAAGGTCCGAGTTTTTTAAACATATCAGTGGTGGCAAGGATTCATTTTAAAACTGATCTTTTAGGGAGCATAGGGGACTAAGTTGGTGACATAAAAGTTGTTTTTTTTTTTAATTGTTCAATTGTTTCTCTATTCTACATTTCAAAAAATTAATAGAGTAAGTGCCTTCTGTTTGAAAATATCAGTTTTTGTCAGGGTTCAAGTCTGTGCCATTAAAAAAAATCAGATTTTTTAATATTTAATTTTCTCTGTATCAGTGCGACAGCAAATAACTCTTCCAGGACAAATAAAGGAAGAATAATTTAATCAATTTTCCGTTGCAAAATAGAACATGTACTGACGTGCTCAAAACAGAAATGTATTGGTTTTAATACCTATCATTTATAAAAGTACGCATAATGTGCTATCCATTGTCAGTATTTTTATTTGCTTTGGTAAAAAGGTATAATCATAACTGTAGTACAGTATCTGAAATTTGATTTACACGGGAGAATTGGATTGGTTGTGTAATATGTGTTGCTGGTATTATGCTCCTCTGAAAGATCTCTGACTGAGACCATTGTATTGTGTTCATTATGCCACTCTGTGACTTCAAGAAGAAAAAAAACAGGTACCTGAATATGAACAAGAAAAACAAAGGATAGGAAAAGAACAGGCAGAACAGATAAAGAATGAGTAGGATAAGTGAGTGCTTTACAAATGAAAGCAGATGTATGAAATTACAAGCTGTCGGATCAGCAACGGAAATGAAGATGATAAAGTGGTTCCCTACACAGATTATAATTATTCATTTTGCCCAGTCCTGCATCTTTTCCCTGTAATCCTCTTGTTGAGGGAGGAAAGGTATGGGAGGATATGAGGCTTATTCACATGAAAGAAAAAAATGTAAAGCATTTAAATCTCTCTGTCCACAGAACAATCATTTATTTTGCCTTTTATTGATTCAAAATAAGTCTATGTTTGCAGGATCTTTTCTGGTGTGGAAGCCTGATTAGAAGTATTTCTTGTTACAACTAAAGTTCTCAGAATAGTAGTCTGTTAAAAATTTCATTATAATTATTAGCGTTTGAGTCTGTCTTTATATTGCACAGTGCAAGCACCAGTAACAGGCATTGCTTTGACAGCTGTGGCAGATGGATTGCCTGGATTTAGATGGTGCAAAAGAAATGAAGTAGTTTACACAGACCTGCCTGAAAAGATGTCTTTAATAATTGCACTCATAATGAGATTGATTTGGAAAAAAAAAAAAAAAGAAAAAAGAAAGAAAGAAACAGAAGATGACAGTGACAAGCAAAGAACTGTATAGAATATACTTAGCTTCGTATAAAATCAACTTCCTAAAAATTTCCAAATAAGTAAAAAATTCTTCTTAATGTTAACAGTGTATTTTCATTCTAAGTATTTCTGAAATGCAAATCTAACCTTTTACCTTTGTACTTAACATTACATAAAAAGTTTTTTGATTTACTAGAAAACAGGGAGTTGTTTACCTCAGTTTATATTTGCATATGAATGTGCGATTACATGTGTGAGTGCGTATATCTGTCTATGTGCATAAGAATACGATAACATATATTTCAGCAAAGAATTATCAGAACGGGGAAAAGTTACCATATAAGCAGGACCTCACATATTAACACCTCTGGATATAACATCCGCAAGTGAGTGGTTGAAAAGCCAGTGTCCACTTTTGGTTTTGTACCTCCACTGACAGTATTTCCCCCACCTCCACTGGCTCTGGCTGAGTTTCCATTCACACCTTACAAAGAAGTGTCTAAATTTAGGCACCTAAATCTGGAAGTGAATCCTAATATAAAGGTCTATGAAATACAGTCAATGGTAGATTTAACGATAATGCCATTTTTTTTTACCCTAATGATATTGGATCAAGTGTAAGTCAAAGGGCGTGGTAATACAGTATCAACTTTTAGTCTGAGCTCTGCTTGAATTTGGAGAGTCTTCGTGAGGGAAAAGGCAGCTACATTTGAACTGTCATAAATTTGCAGGGAATAACATAATAATATTTTGCTTTTTTCACTTTCATTGTAGTGATATCAAGTAATTACCAGACCTGTTTGGGACTTCTGATGCATTATCCTCCTATTGGAGACGTTCACTCCCTTATCCTAAGAGCACTTTTCCTTCGAGATCCAAAGGTGAGAGGCTGGATCTGTAAACATGGGAAATGAATCTCTTTAATAGAATGTTCTGAATGCTATGACATTAATAACAATTTATATTTTGATGGGTAGACTATAGTTTCAAGTTTCTTTTTCCTTGACAAGCTGAAGAAGGAGGCTGATAAACAAGAATAAAATAAAGTTTCTTTACCCTTAAAATAATTCCATCCTATTAATGCACTAAACTTCTACAAGAGCTCAGGTAAGTGCAGGTGTTTATGCTCCTTTGCTTGGTATTCTGCACAGACGTATTTCATCACAGAGTACACTTTTGAGGGAAACAGGTATTTTATATATTAACCCTAGTAACTAAAAACTTTTTCTTGAGATGTCTACAGATGAATCACTGTTAATCCTTAAAACACTGCCCACGTACAATATATAATATGTTGTGTGATGACTTTCAATTAAAAATGAGTATCTATTGTTAACAACCTGAAAAGATTCACAGAAATAAAAAATATAAATTTATAAATTTAAAGTTTGTGATACACTCAACTATATTACAAAATTGATTAACTATTTGCTGATTTAGAAGGGCATGCATATGTATGTGGTTATTATACATGTTCAGTATCCACAATATAGTAGATAAAGTGTGTGAGGCAAAGTCGCACTTGATATTCTTTTCAATATTCAGATTTTTGGCAGACAGCAGAATTTGTGCTACTGGTTTTGAACTGTCTTTGAGCACGTCCCATTAGTAAGCTGCCAGTGTAAAGTTTGATTCCCCTCATCTCCTGATTCAAGTCACCTTTGAAAGTGAAAAATTCAGCACTTCTGCACTCTGACTGTTTTCTGCAAAATTTCATTCAATACCAATGTTTACACTTTTGTGGATTAAGAAAAAAATTGTCTCTTTGTTTCTGTATCAGTTTTTTGCAGAAATCAGCTTTCTTTACAGCTGCTTTCTTTACAGCTGTTTTCTTCATTCCTCTCGGGCACAAAGATTTCTTTCGTGACGAGAAATATATAATCTTTTAAGTGTGTAAGAAAGTTTTTAATGTTAGATCTCAAGAATTTTTCTTAAGATTTAGGCAGCAGTCTGTGAAATCAAACTGCCAGCCTTTATTTAAGTACTTCATGAGCAAAACAAGATAGAACTATTTTTTAGAGGAAAGACATAGAGGGAGGGAAATTGTGCTGAGATATTGTGCTCAATCCGTACGTAATCTGCTGTTTAGCAAAGGAATATGTTAAAAGGAAGAAAAATTACTAATTATTCAACTGTCTTCCAAAGTATCCTAGGCAGTATACAAGCTGTACAACCAGCAAAATGGACCAAAGTAAGCCTCCAGTATCCTATGAAAGAAGTTTGATCACTGTTCTGCTTCTCACTCTCTTGTCTGAAGCAGAGTGAAATTGTCAGGCTCATAAGGCCTTGGCATCCTAATAATTCACTTTCTCAGATGTGCCTAAAATCACTTTCAGAGAAATGATGGGTGTAGGACCTTATTGTGTCTTTCAGATAGTTCTCCCTTCAGTCAGGTGAATAAGCCGTTAACACTCTTTTGTGCAAATGTTCCTCCTTTCTGAGCTCTACTTAGCTGTTTGGGAAATACTCTAAAGATTAGAAAGCTAGGATTTCCGCAGAATAGAGAGCCCAAAGGAATTCATAGCTGCTTCTCATTTAACATTGGGTTTTTGGGTTGAGACTATATTAACAAGTTTGGACTTCCTTTAATAAGGAAGGAAGGTTTTCTATTCAAAAGGATTTCTCTAAATGAAAAATTACCTTCTGGTCAGAGAGGGAAGTATATTTCCAATGCAGTAACAAGTACCTGTGTTTTTTTTTTTAAATCTTTCTCGAGATGTAATTTAAAGTTTCACTTATGTGTCTCTAAGCATAAACTGGTTTAACCCAACATATTTCTGAAATGGGAGTTGTCTACTGTGGCTTGTTATTCTGTGTGGTCCAAGAACTACTTATAAATTTTCCCAGTCTGTCAAAATTTTTCATTAGTGAGAATGAAAGGGAAGACTCAACAAGACATCATGGGTGCTGCAGGAGTTAAAAATCAGTACACAGATTATGTACCGGTGTAAGTGGGAAAATTAGAATACCTTTTTTTTGTTTTCCGCATAAAGATAATTCAGTTTGCCTTTATTCCCTGAGCAGATAAAAGGAGATTGCAAAAAAAGACAAGGAGATTTTAGTCAGTAGTGTAACTTGTAAGCGATGATTAGCAAATTCATTGCTTAATGATTTTTCTTCCTCCTTTGATGTTTTCCTGCGCATTTCTCCATCAACCACTTCTAGCTTCTAATGGGAAATTACATTTAGTTTGGTGCAATTTCCATCTTTTGAGCCAGAACTGAATTGTTCTGTATTGTATATCTTCCAGGATTTTGCTTGATTTTTAATGTGTGAAGTGGGATATTGTTGCATAGTCCAGTGGCTTATTTCATTATTTGTTGAACATAACAAGTATGTTAAGTGTCATTCCAAATATCTGAGGCAAGTTTGCTCTCTGCGCCTTGGAGCTTGGATTCGCGGCTAGGCAGGAAATGCAGTAGAGAAATCATGGATAGGTGTAAATAGCAATCTGCCTTTTAAAGGTTTGTTAGTAAATGTTATCTTTGGGTGATGGCACGAACATAAAACTGAGAGGTTTTTTTGAGAAGTAGGTCTCTCATAGGTTGTGAAGTAGTTCATGTGGACTTCTTCATGTGGCATTCCTGTCCATAGCTTCTGATTCTGGAGATAATCAGAAATTGCTCCTCTGATACAGTCTGTTATTTCTGCTTCTGTTTTCTTCATCTGTCATAACCAATAACTTCATCTTACTTATTTGCCTTGTAGATTATCAGGAAAGGTAAACTGTGGCTTGATGGACCCAGCATTTTTTGTTTGCTACATTGCAGTGCAGACCTCGCTAGGAGAAAACCTAATTATCAGAAGAAAATGAGACCATTTTTTTTCTTACAGATGAACAAATAACATTTCCTGACCTTCTGTGGAATCAAACTTCACCAGAAATCTTAGCAAAATCCAGTAATAACTGTAGTATGAAATGTTTTGTACTTGCCCTTACAGCAGCTCTGCTTTTGACTTAGTGGACCCTGGTTGGCAGTTGGGCTAGGAGGACATTCCCAGTTCTACATCCCCAATCTATTCCAGTACCATTGAAAGGAAATCCAGAGTTATATAATAGCTGGAACCAAGTAAACACACCTGTCTCTGATAGGTGGGCTGAAAGACTGATTTTATAGCTTTGAGTATGGGTCAGTGTACAACAATTGAATTTAATCTCAATTAATGAAAATCTCAAATCAGAATTGTTGTCTTCAGATAGGGTGATATTGTTAACCTGCTTAGCAGAGTGTTTGTTTCACATCTCTACTCATTGAACAGGTCATTACCTCAATTATTTATATGAAAGTTAGTTCTGTGAAATTACAGTCCTTTCAAATCTTGAAGTTGAGCTCCTCATGAAGGAATGGAGTTTTGTAAGTATGCTTATGTGAAATGAGAAAATAAAGCTAGGTTTTTTTCTGAAGGTGTATATCTCTGTATTTAATATTCCATTATATATTTTCAATTTTTTTCCACATATCTAAACCATTGAGTACTGTTAATTTTCAAAGCAAAATCTGCAAAATTAAGAAGTAGATATACAGAGATAGGGCAGCAGAAAAATATAAAGTGATTAAAAAACATAGTTCTAACTAAAGTTGTTCAAATAAAAAAAATTAAAAAACCCAATTAGAAACAAAAGTCATAGAAAATGTGAACATATTGTGTTCCTTAAATAACCAGATGTTCTTTCCTTCCTGAAGGCAGCCAGGGCTAGGAATAAAAGGTTTAAAACTATTGTTTTAAGTTAACTGTGAATTTTGCAAATCTGTTTTCACCCTTTAGCAAATAAAATTCTAATACAGCAACATAAGCAAAGTAATTTTCATCTTTGGGTGTGCTTATTTCTATGTTGTTCTGTGTTGAAGCGTTAACCTTATCACAATGACTTATTACAAATCTAAAGCACAACGCAGAATATTTCCATTTCACATTACATACTAAGAGCCTGACAACCATCCTTTGTCTGAAAGTGTACTGTATTCTTAGTATTTTGTCAAATATGTTTGCTTTCAGATATTTTAACATAGTGAATTACACTGTCAAACAACCTTGTTAGGAGTTTTATTCAATGGAGACACTGCTTATCATAAGCCATTGATTTTAAAAAGAGAGAAAGAAAGGGGCTGTATTTGGTCAGTGGAAATTGTTACTTATGCTAATAATATTATTATTACTGCTGCTGCTATTTTTTCAACACTGTATTTTGAGGTATTTGCTGACATTGAAAATGGTGACAGAAGTTTTACAGACTATTAAATTCTAAGTAAATCCACGACATTTAAAATAAGTTGTATTACCTCATCATGACTGAAGTTACAGGGACTGACAGAAAACTTAAGCAACAATTTATGGTTATGATCATTCTATAATGATCAGTCAGAGAAATTTACATTCCAGTTTTTAACACTTCAAAATCTGAGCAGTAAATGACAAGGGGAAACATATTACTGAAATTTTGAACTGAACTCTTTCTTTGTGCATGAATTTTCAGCTGAATTTTCTTTTTAAGTAGCTGCCACCGTCTCAGAGTTTTCTCCAAGCTAGTTTCATGTGCCTGAAAGGCTGTTGAGTTTCACTTTCTTCTTCAGATGGATCCTTTTCTATACACTCATTAACTGAGGTGCTGCTGCAGAGCTGCAACTGGCCTTTGAAAGCTGCCGTTATGTCAGTGTTGTTTGTTTCGCTGTTTGTGGCAGGAGAAAAACAGGTTTGAGGTTGTTTTGTTTGTTTGTTAGCATTGTCTATGCAATCTGGCATTAATTACCTCTCTTTAATGACCAGATTTCAGCCAATCAGAAGTTAGAATCTGGCAGGTTTTGGACATTAGCAGCTCATTAATTCCTACCAACTCAGAAAGGTACTCGATGGGGTGGTTAGTCCATTTTGTCAGAGTACC